AACTGTATTTGGAATGTATTTATACAAAGTAAAGTCACAAATGAGAAAAGGAGGAAGAGATTATCTGTGAAGTCTGAAAAGAAAGAAAATTATAGTTTTTTTTCTAGATCCAATTAGATCTAGTTTCCCAGGGATGGGAAAAAAAAAAAAAAGGCGGAGGAGGAGGAGGAGGAGGAAAAGAAAAGAAGAAGAAAGGAAAGGAAAGAAGGAAAGGGAAGAAGAGGACGTTAGTATAATGGCTATGTCGCTGGACTCCCACATAGTCGACCGCAGTTCGTGTCCTGGACCCGGTGGCTTAAAACTCACGCGCGTGCGTGCCCAAGATCCCGAGAGGAGAATGGAGGAGAAGGGATTGCTGCGTGACCATCCCCCCTGGGGGGTGATTTCTCGCTTTCTGTCTCTATGTCTCTCTCTGTCCGTCTGGCGAGCGCACGCGCCCTACAGTGCAAATCTCTCAAAAAAAAAAAAAAAAAGGAAAGAGGAAAGTAAAGGAAAGGGGGGAAAATAAATGCTGGGACAGTCAATGGCATGGAGGTTAAGGTAGCTCGCATGGCCAACTGTGAAGTTCAAGGAAGTTCAAGTCTCAGATCCGGCTTTAAAAACACCATGCTGACCACACGTGTGTGCCTGCCTAAAATCCAGGAGAATGGAGAAGAGACTGCAGCGTGACCATCCCCCTGGAGGGGGAGGGGTGATTTCTCACTTGCCCTCTCTGTCTCCAGAAAGTGCCTATGTCCTATAGCAAAAAGTTTTAAAAAGAAGAGTAAGAATGCGGAAAGACCATAGTAAAAGACAACTTGATTGAACTTTCACCCCTCTTCTGGATGAACCAAACTCAGTGGTGTTTCTGTATATAATAGCCCCAAACTGGAAACTCCCCCAACATCCGTCAGCGATGAAATGGAGGGAAAGTGTGGGCTGTCCATACAAGGAGTTACTACTCGGTGAGAACGACCTATGACCGCACGCACGACACGGATGAACCTCACAAATGCACCGACTGTGCAGACATGCTTCACAGCCATGTAGATGTCAGCTGGGCTTGCTAGTGAAAGTATTTTAAGGTTTTTGTACATCAAAAAAATGTGAAAAAAAAAAAAAAAGGAAACATGGAAAGCAACTGTAGATACCAGAGACAGTGTGGGAGGAGGGCGGGAAATGGCAGAGGGTGAGAAGTCGGGAATCAAGGGGGGAAAATGCAAAATATGTAAGAAACAAGAAAGGGGGGGCCAGTGGGTGGCATGGTGATTAAAAGCGCTGGATGCTCCCACATGGCTGACCATGGTTGGAGTCCTGGACCTGGAGGCTTGCTTTCTAACTCTCTCTCTCTGATCAAACTGGAAAATAATAATAATAATAATCAATACAGTTAAATAAAATAATTATTTAAAAAAAGAAACAAGAGAGGAAATAGTCTTGGTGGATGATAACATGTATAGCAATGCTATTGATTAACCCAATACATGGTGTATTCTGGATGGGAAATCTCGTTGTGTATGCTGTGATGGTGTACAGTGACTGAATATAAAGTAAATTAAAATTAAAAGTAAATAAATGCACTGACTGTTGAGGTGAAGAAGCCAGACTTGGGGGCTGGACAATGGCGCAGCAGCATAACCCAACCCTGTGAGGCCAAACCACACAGCGTGACTCCAGAATTGCGTTCAGAGATCTCCTGGTTTGCCAGGCATGGGGGTGCCTGTGATCCCAGGCTGGCTGAGGTTGGGGGTGGACCGGAGCAACGGGACCCTACTGGAGGTGCCTGGCCCGCTCCCCCTGTCTCTGTGTATGGCTCTTGCTCATGGAAGAAGTAAATAACTAAAATGAGAGGGAGCATGGCTCAAGGAAGTAGTTGTTGTAGTAATGCGTCTATATAGAATACAAAAATCAGCAGATCTGACCTACACTGTGAGAAGTAAAGAGAGCAGTTCTCGTGGGGGCGGAGGGGAGGGGAGTGGCTAAAAGAGAGCCTGAGGGAGCCCCTACGGGGCGTACTGGTAGAATTCTATTTCCTAGCCTCCAGCACCAGCTTCCAAACTGGTGACAAGAGCGGAGTTTGGTTTGTGAAAATGTGAGGGGCTGTATGCCTCTGCTCTGGGCACTTTACCAATACTCTACATCAACATCAAGTTCTCAAAGTGAAAAAAACAAAAGCCATAATTGTGCTTAAGAGCATTCTTGGAATTTATTTTCCCTTCATTGGATAAAGGTTCCTGAAAAGCTCCTGGGCTTCCTGGAGCTCTTATTAATAATTCAGGGCTCCCGAGCTGTGTCCCAGACAGCAGCCTCAGCTGACGTCTGTGTCCCCTGGTCCTGCACTGGCTGCTGTGCTCGGGCCCCAGAGCTCCTCGCCCCTCCTGCCAGACACACAGAGGCATCGCCTGCCGACCGCTAACTGTTCCTTGCTGTGACTTGCTGGATATAGTATATACAGACATCAACGTGACATCACGGAGTGACACACAGCTCGGCTTAAAGGGAGGGGAAGAAAAGGTGGAAACACCGGCCTTATTCAAAGAGGAGACTCACCTCCCCGGGGTTTCCTTGTTCTGAGGATCCTAACCCAGGCACCTGGATACAGAACTGCAGCCGCTCCGATTCCTGGGTCTGCTCTGCAATCATTATTGTATGTGAGTACCTGGGCTAGGCTCTGGGGATCAAAAACGCTTCACTGCTGCCCTTCTGGAGGTTATGGTCACTTGGCAAGAAGTGACATAAATCCAAGCAAATCGTTACTGCAGACAGCCATGAAAGACCCGTAGTGGGAGCCCACGAGTACGAGGATTCAACCTGCACTGACGGGAGTGGAGTGGGCTGCGGTCCAAGAAGCCTTCCCTAAACAGGCGCAATGAACCGAGCTCTGCCTGATGAGAAGTAAAACCAAGGGAAAGATGAGGGATGACTTTGGGCTGTGGGAATCACATGTGCAAAGGCCCAGTGGCAGAAGGGAGCTACGTCCAAGAAACTGAAAACTGGGCTTGTGTGGCTGGAGCACAGAGCATGAGGGGAAGCATGGTGGAGAAGGGCTGGAGGAGCAAGAAGGTGCCAGGCGAAACGCTTCTCCTTCCAGAGGTGCTTCGGTTCTCGGGGCGCCTTCACAGGCCTTGCTCTGCAGACCACAGGGCCGCCACTGTGATTAGTGTGTAGGTGATGTTGTTCCCCGTGTGCAGGTGGAGAAGTGAAAGATCAGTGAAGTGACTTGCCAGAGGACCAGAAGATGGCATAATGGTTATGTCACTGGACTCCCACACAGTCGACTGTGGTTCGAGGACTGGACCCGGTGACTTAAATAAAATTCTCATTGGGCACATGTGCATGCATGCCCAAGATGCCAAAAAGAGAATGGAGAAGGGATGGCAGCATGGCCATCCCCCTCCGCCCAATCAGGGGTGATTTCTCACTCTCTGTCTCTCTGTCTCTATGGTGAGCACACACACCCTGCAGCAAAAATCTCTCTAAAAGTGACTCGCCAGAGACTGCACTGCTATGGAGCAGAAAAGCCCATCCCCTTGTCCTCCAACCCCTGGCCTGGTGCCCTGTACTGCCCGTGCCTTTACCCAGCTCAGTCCAAGAGAGTCCCAAAGTGGAGGCATCAGGTCTCATGGCTAGAAAAGAGTTAGGAGTCAGCACCTCCTCTGGGACTCTCCCAGTTGCATCCTGACAGACTGAAGGCCCCAGCATCTCTGCCAGGCTCGTCCAGGTTTACTCTGAACCCAGGGCTGGAACCCTTTTAACTCTGATTTCCTTGGTGGGGGAGAAGCTTTGGGACCATGTGTGTTGGATCAAGCAAACTTCCTTTTAACTGAGTCCACCATTCCGGGCATCTCCTCCAAGACACGGAAAACACCTCTGTGAACTGGGCCATATCTTCTCCGAGGAGGCGATTACCCAAACATCTGTGAACCAAGGGAACTTTCCCCTTACCTTTGTTCCTGAAGTGTGCGTTCATTAGCTATTTGAATAGCCTCTCCTGACCTACAAATTGTTGGTTTATTTAGGGAAAAACAAAAAACAAACCAAAGCAAAACACTTATGTCAACCTGCCCTGTAGTGTAGCAGTTAAGTACAGTGCATAGGGAACTGGGCCCCATGTGGCTGACTGCGGTTCAAATCCTGCTCCATTTGGCTTGAGAAACATGTCAAGAGTGTGTGCCCGAAATCCTGATGAGAGAGGGCTTTCTCCCCACTTCCCTGCACCCTCTGAAAATAAAAATAAAAGAATTTTTTTAAAGCATTTATCTTTTTTTTTTCCTCTAATACTCCAGGACAAATTTGTCATCCTAAATTTCTGGCCTCCCTGTGAAACTGACTTACCAGGTATAATTTACACCAAAAACTTAATGTATCCTCAGGTGCGGGCCCTGAGCAAGCTCCCACCCTCAAGTCATTCCCAAGGGTGGAGCCTCTTGCTCAGAGAAGAAAACCACAGACATTCAGGGTATTGCCCTTGGAGCAAGCAGTGGGATACAAGTGGGCCCTTGATTTGAGTGAGCAGCCATATATATTTTATTACAGGATCTCAGAAATGGAAGGAGCCTGACTCACAGTTCTGGAGGTCAGAACATCCACCTCCCTCTTCCTCCACCCTGAGAACACGACTGAGCATCTCTGGCCCTTTTCACCCAAATCATCACACATATGTGTGTGTCTAAGTCTCGGTTGTGGTTTTACATTTTCAGACAATATTTAAAACTCCAGCTCTTCTGTATTTAAATGTGGATTCCTGAGGTCACTTGGAAAACCTGCAGGACCTGCATCCTCGGGCCACATTCCCATGAGTGAACTTCAGCTGGAGATGCAGACCTTCCCCTGTGGACGACATGCTCCCTCCAGCTCATGGTCCCTTCTCTGCCCTACTCGTCTGCAACACAGAGGTCCAGATCAGTTGTCACTTACCATGTCACTTGCTCTGCCATTTTTTACAGTACAGAAGCCTATTTCCTTGTAGCTACTCCTCTACCAAAGGTGGAAAAAATAAGACACATCAAGGAAGCCATGAATTTCAAGAAAAATGAGAGCATTTTTCTTTATAGAAGCTGAAAAATACTCCTCTGCTTTTGGTTAGCTTCCCTCACTGGTTCTAGTTCAGAGTCCCTCAGATGTCAGTGAGAGCCCCTGACACCTGAAGGCTTGACTGAGGCTGGATCCACTGCCAAGATAGCTCGTTCACCAGGCTGGTAAACTGATGCCAGTCATGGGCGGGAGGCCTCAGTCCCTGACTCTGTGGAGCTCTCCATAGTGCTGCTTGAATGTCCTCATGACTTGGCGACCGGCTTTCCACAGAGCAGATGGCCCAAGAGACAGCGAAGTGAAAGACACAATGTCTTTTATGACCTGGTGTCAGAGTCAAAGAGGTTATCTGCACCATATCCTGTTGGTTACACGGGTCAGCTGTAGTGTTGGACTGCACAAGGGTGTCATAGAGCTCTTTGGTGGACATCTTGAAAGCTGGATACCACATAATTCCATGATGTTTACAAGAGACATACCTGAAATACAAGGACATGAAAATATTTGAAGTAAAGCTGGGGTCACTGTATTAATACCAGACAAAATAGACTTAATAAGAAAGCATTTGTATGGCTAGAGGTTAAATAATGATTAAAGTTCAATTTACTAAGACAATGTAATTTTTATAAATTTAGCAAAATAAACTTAATAAAAATAGGTTCCAAATATATAAACCAAAAACTAATAGAACTCATGGTGGCAATCTACTCTCTGGTTGCCAAGACCTGGTCCCTTCCTTTGGAGAGCTGACTATTTTTTTCTGGAAAACCTAAGGCCAGGGAACCACCAGTTAGGGTAATGGCTATGTCGCTGGACTCCCACGTAGTCGACCATGGTTCACATCCCGGACCCGGTGGCTTAGAACTCACGCCGGGCGCGTGTGCGTGCGTGCCCAAGATCCCGAGAGGAGAATGGAGGAGAAGGGATTGCAGCGTGACCATCCCCCCTGAGGGGTGATTTCTCGCTTTCTGTCTCTCTGTCTCTCTCTGTCTGTCTGGCGAGTACACGCGCCCTACAGTAAAAAAAAACTCTCAAAAAAAAAAAAAGAACCTAAGGCCAATTGCTAAAAGTTTCTTTGTTGATATATCTTTACTATTTAAATAACGTATCCTAATAATTTCTAAGTAACATGTTCACTTTTTAAATAACCCCAGTATTTTCCCTTTCTCTTCTATCATTATTCCTCTTCCTCCAGGATAATATACTCAGTTGCCACTTTGATGTCATACCCAGGGTCCTTTCACACCTCCCCTCAGACAGACTTCTGGGCCCCTGCCCTCCGTACATGCTCAGTTATTCCACATTATGAAAGAAGTTTCACTGTTCTTGTTTTCCTCCCTTCACTTGCTAGTTCCCTTTATTATTTTTAATGTGTTTATTGAGGTATAGTGGATGTATAAATAATTGCATCTATTTAGTGTAAACAATTTGATAAGTCTGTGATATCATTACTATACTCAAGGTAATAAATATATTCATTACCTTCAAAAATATTTATAGAGGGGCCAGAAAGAGGTGTGGTGGTTAAGGTGGCTGGACTCCCATATGTCTGACCATAGTGTGGGTCCCGGACCTGGACTTGAAAATCACGCTGGGTGCATGTGCATGTGTGCCTAAAATCCCAGGAAGAGGATGGAGGAGAAGGGATTGTAGCATGGCCATCTGCACTAGGGGGTGACCTCTTACTTTTACTCTCCCTGTTTCTCTCTGATAACTGCATGCTCCCTATGGCAAAAGCCAAAAAGAGAGAGAAAGAGAACTCAGAGAGAAATTGACAAATTCACCACCATAATGGAAGAACTCAACATGCTTTTCTCTATTACTGGTAGATCAAGGATGGAAAAAATTATAAAAGACAGAAAAGTTGAGCAATATAGTCAGCCTCATTTATTGGCTGTACATAAAATGCTCTACTGAACAATTAGGGATGATGCATTTGGAACATTTACAAAAATTGATCAAGTGCTAAGCCACAAAGCAAGGCTCAGTGAGTTTCAAAGAGTCAATATCAATGTGTTTTCCACCATAACACAATTAACAAAAAGCGAACAACAAAATATAATTATTTTTTAATTCTCATATGCTTGGGAAAATTAAAATACACTACCAACGCATGGGTCAAAGAAAAAAATTCAACACAAAAAATGTAAAATTCAGTTAAAATGCATTTGAAACTCGAAATATTATTCATTTAATATGAAAACCATGTTCATTCATATGCTTAGGAGCAGACTTTCCTACAATTGAGGAAAAAATATTTATATATCTTTTCAAAGATTATTTTAAATTTTTACTTTTTAAAAAAATTTGTTATAGGGCACATGTGCTCATCAGACAGAAACAGAGAGACAAGGAAAGTGAGAAAGCCAGCCACCAGGTCCAGCAACAGTGGTAGAGCCCAGTGCCTTAACCACCACGCCACCTGCTGGCCCCTTAAATATCTTTTAAAAGCTGAAAATCTTTCACAATTGACTTCCTTTAATGGGAATAGTTGCTGGTTTACTGACTTCAAGAACTGTTACTCTTTCTTCTCTGTTAAGGTACCTATAGGATATAGATGAAAAAGCAAAGATGTTTCTCCAATCTTACATATATATGTAAGATTGCATGTGTGTATTGTGTGTTATATGTTATATATATATATATTTGTTGTTGTTTTTATAAGCCAGCACTCACCAGAGAGAGAGAGAGAATAAGGGAGAGGGACCAAGCACTCACGGTGGGGTATGTTCATGCCACGGTCCCTTCTCCAGTTCTCCAACCTGTTGGAAGCTGGGGGACATGCACCTGGAGTGTTTTTCAAGCTGCAAAGGCTAGGACTCAAACCACGCTCGACCATGTGGGAATATTTGTTGTAATTTATGATTTACATCTTTTCACTGCACGTTTTTGTAGGGTACAGAATGGTCTTTAAAAGCATGTATTGGGACCAGCAGTTAGCGTAATGGCTATGTCGCTGGACTCCCACGTAGTCGACCGCGGTTCGCATCCTGGACCCGGTGGCTTAAACTCACGCCGGGCGCGTGTGCATGCATGCCCAGGATCCCAAGAGGAGAATGGAGGAGAAGGGATTGCAGCGTGGCCATCCCCCCGGGGGGTGATTTTGATTTCCTGCCTTCTGTCTCTGTGTCCCTCTGTCTGGCGAGCGCACGCGCCCTATAGCAAAAATCTCTCCAAAAAAAAAAAAAAAAAAAGAAAATATTTAGGGAACCCACAGTTAGGGCTATGTCACCGGACTCCCACGTAGTCGACCGCGGTTCGAGTCTCAGACCCAGTGGCTTACAACTCACGCCGGGCACATGTGCATGCGTGCCCAAGATTCCAAGAGGAGAATAGAGGAGAAGGGATTGCGGCATGACCATCCCCCTGGGGGGGGTGATTTCTCGCTTTCTGTCTCTATGTTTCTCTCTGTCTGTCTGGTGAGTGCCCTATAGCAAAAAACCTCTCCAAAAAAAAAAGAAAGAAAGAAAAGCATGTATTTAGTGTTTAATAAACAAATTGAAGATACAAACATATGCACCATCGTGAACATTGACATTATATTATGAACATTCAAGACCCATTCCACTGGAAGTACGTACAGAACTGTCTGACGTTCTTTACTATGAAATACAATTCTAAGGAAAAACAAATTAATTAATAATTGGACAATACAAGTCTCATAAATTAATGAGGATAGATTTTTGAAAACGAAGATAATCTTAACAAAGCCAATAAAAGAAGAATTTGTCATTTCCATGTAGAGGACCATGGGAGATAAGAGTTTATAAAGTGGGGACCAGCAGGTGGTGTGGTGGTTGAGGCACTGGACTACCACATGGCTAACCACGGGTCAAGTCCTGGACTTGGTGACTTGATTTCTCACTTTCTCTCTCTCTCTCTCTCTCTCTCTCTTCCTCTCTTGTGAATTAAAGTAATAATAATAAATAAATTATTCCTTTTTACAAAATAGTTTTTAAAATAAATTCATAATCTGAAAAGATTGGTGGTATCAGTCATTGGTCCAGTCAGAGATAGGTAAAATTGTATATAACAATAGTTCATCAAGAAGAAATAGAAAAAGAAAACTTTTATTCATTCACTATGATTTCTTATAAGATGAGAATACTGATGATCCATAAAGAAATAAGTCCTTAAAAAGGCAAAAATAAAACAAAATAGCGAAAATAAATAAATAAAATTTAAAATAAAGAATAAATTAAAAATTTTTTAAAATTGGAAAGAGATGATTAAAAGTGAAGACATGGTAGTTATTTGCTGATTTACAGGCTTTACAAGGTTTTTGTCTTTAGTCTTCTTTAAATTCATTCCAAAGAAAGACTCAACTATTTGCAACATTTTGAACTTTTTTTCTGTGATCTAGTTTTATACAATGAATAATGGTTATAATAAATATATAAATTGAAACCTATAAAGATAACTGTCTATCAAATAATTGGGAGATTTGTACTTACACCTGCTTGTTTATAAAATAGTTAAATCTCCATTTCTAACCTTTTAATTGGGAAATTTAACCCTGCCATTCGATATTATTATAGATATTTGTGAATTTACCTTTTTTTTCCTAGTTGTTTTCTGTCCTCTTACTTACATTTATCTCCTTTTTGTTTTCCTGGTGTATATTCCCTTAAGTGTTTCCTGAAGAGCTGGTTTCATTTTAGTGGATTCTTTCAGCATTTGTTTATCTGGGAATGATTTTATTTCTCCTTCCCATCTGAAGAATAATCTTGCTAGTATAGTGCTCTTGGCTGAAATCATTTTTCTTTCAGAGTTTTAAATATATCTTTCCATTCTTTCCTCACCTGAATTGTTTCAGTTGAGAATTCAGATACTAGTCTAATGTGGTAATCTTTGTAAGTAACCTGGCATTTCTCCCTTCCCATTTTTAGAATATTGTCTTTAGGGACCAGCAGTTAGTGTAACAGCTATGTCGCTGGACTCCCATGTAGTCGACCACAGTTCACGTCCTGGACCCGGTGGCTTAAACTCACGCCGGGTGCGTGTGCGTGCGTGCCCAAGATCCCGAGGAGAATGGAGGAGAAGGGATTATGGCATGGCCATCCCCCTGGGGGGTGATTTCTCGCTTTCTGTCTCTCTGTCTCTCTCAGTCTGTCTGGCGAGCACATGCACCCTATGGCAAAAACCTCTCCAGAAAAAAAAAAAAAAAGAATACTGTCTTTGTCTAGTTTATACCAATTTGGCCATTATATGCCTTGGAGAGGATCTTCTTATGTTATACCTATTTAGTGTCCTTTATGTTTTCTGAATTTAGAAGTCTGAATGCCTCTCCAAATTTGAAAAATTTTCAGCTAATATAGCATGGAAGATGTTTTCTGTGCCTTTGCCTGCCTCTTTGCCTTTTGGGATACCTATTATGCAGCTATTCAGCCATTTAATGGTGTCTAGGATTTCCCGTATATTGTTCCGGGTTTTAATAATTATTATTTTTTTAATTCTTTTTGGTTGCCAGGACTAAACT